AAAAAATAGCTCAAGAGGCAGGTAAGTTGGAAAAGTATAGACAGAAGGCTCAAACCTGATTCTACAAAAATACGAAGTAACTATTGAGAAAAATTATTAATAAAGGGCTTTATAAGTTACAATATGTGTTTGAACAGCTACTTTACAAGCCACAGAGTGTTGAAGAGGATTTATTTTGGCCTTGATAAATAAGACTGGCTTAGATATAGGTACATGATCTGTAAGTACGTTGAAGAATACAATGGAACAAAATATGCCTATGACATAGAATTAAACAGTGGGTTAAAAAGAAGGGGAGAAAACCTCAAAATTTAAAGGAATTTAGAGGAGGGACTGTTTACAGATGGCTCCCAGAGAGAAGTAGACTTCCATGTGCCTCCCTGGAACCCTGGAAATGTTTCTACTTAATGTGGGCCTTGCACACCAGGGACCTGGAGGAAACTGAAAGTGCACAGAGAAAGAACCTGCAATAAAAGCTCCAAATCTCACTTAAGTCCCCAGTTACATCTAACTTCTAGTTCCTGCTTAACTTCATTGAATATTGATTATAATTTCTATTTACTATAAGACCCTATAATTTGCTAGGTAGCATGGTGTACGGGAGGAAAAGGAGGCAGGGAGAAGCATTTTATCACTGACTCTGCTTAGAACTGTAGGTACATAATGATGATAAAAAGCAAATGGACTTTTAGTTGGTTTTATTACTGCTTTTAAATTCTTTACAGACTTTGCATCCCCTTACAAACCTGCACTGCTGCCCCCATCTTGATATGCCACTGCTAGGTAGAATATTAGATATTAATATACATGATCTCATTGTCACTCCCTTTTTACAGGTAAGATCAAGTCTCAGATATTAAATAACTTATCCAGGGTCACACAAATTGTAAACACCAGACCCCAGATGGGAACCCAGATCTCTATGACTCCAAAGTATTTCTTTAATTGTGCTGGACTACCTCAAATGCCACTCTTATTAAAAAGAGACTTCACTGCTCCCATCACCTTAGAGAACTGTTTATCAGTTGCATATAAAGTTAAGCTTACATCTACCCTCTGACCTAGCAATTCCATTCCTTTAGGTATTTACTCAAGGGAAATGAAAACATTTGCCCACATAAAAACTGGCAGAAGAATATCCATAGATGCCTTATTTTTAAAAGCCCCAAACTTGGAAATAACCCAAACAGTCATCCACAGGAGAATGGATACACAAAATGCAGTGACTGCTGTATACATACAGTGTGATACTACTCAGAAATAAAAAGGAACTAACCAGGGACACACGCAATCGCATGGATGAAAAAGCATATGCTAAGCAAAAGAAACCAAATACAAAAAATATATATATACTATATAATTCCACTT